GTTATCTCCCAGGCTGTGACAGGGTCTGACATATGTTTCTGTATCTATGCATCTGGCTCTGTTTTCTCCCAGTATGTATTGCATTTTGGTTTGGTCATGAAATATCATAATTTGGGACTGTAGTTTTAGTTTTTTTTCAAGAAGTCTTCTCTTGTGTGTTCATATTTGATGCAATGTAACACTAAGTGTGTTTCTGTTTCCACCTGTCTGTGGGGACAGAGCTGACACAGCCTGTCCTCTCTGGGAAGCTTGTGTCTCATAGCCAAGCTGAGATCATTGAGTCTGTATGTGGTATTTTGTCAGTTTTTCATCAGTCACTGGTTCAGATAGTATATACTGTACTGTCTGTTTAGATCCAAATAGCACTGACGTTTGCTTGGAGTTATAGAAATGTGTTTTTCTGTCTTTATAATTTGACTGGTCCGTTTTGTGAGGGCTGTCCTGAGGCCTGGTACCAGAGGAGCTGAGCCTCAGGATCAGCTGGATGGATTAGTGTTCTTTATCTCCTCCAATTGGTAATGTGTTTGTGATGGTAGGAGTTGGTGTTAAAAGGGAACATTGGCCTATTTTAGCTCGAAATCCATTGTAAGTGGTGTTTCTGTGGACCCTAATCCTAATCTCTAAAAGAGGGGGTTTGGGTGTTTGTCCCATTTTTGAAAATCTTGATTTTCAAGAGGCCCCCCATCCCATACTTAAATACCTGTGATCATTATAGATTTCAGTATTCAAGACACAGATTTTAATGGGTATACAAAGCTGTCACACATGGAGATTCATTGACTGGTAAATATTTAGGGACAAAAAATGAAGTGATCTTAAAGTTAGCCTGAATAATGCAATTTGATTGAGTTTCAAGAACATCACACAGAGCCCTACTTTGATCTTCGATGTTTATTTACAGAAGAGTTGTTGTCCACAAACATCTTGAGAGTTGTTTTGAGTTTTGATGAGTAAAATGGTGGAAATATTTCTAGCAACCACAAGTACTACCTATCCTGTGATGATTCTTCTGAACAAGCAATGTTTCTATCACCAATTATGGCTGCCATGTCTAACACTGAGTAATCCATCTGTCATGTTACAGAGTAAGAAAATTGCACTTCTAGAAATGTAAAAATGACAGTTGCTTATGGCCCAAGAAAAAAAAAAGCTAATCTTTGAAGTGTTCCTACAATTTGCTCCAACAGTAGCATCTTTTGTATACAAATGAGATCTTGTCCAGCACACAACTATTACAAAGGTGTCTAAGTATAGCTGCAGATTGGTAGCACATGACTACAGAGTCTGAGTCTGTGCTTTACACATTCTGAAAAGCAGAATTGAGCTGGTACACATAAAACTAGAGAAGACATACAAAAAATGCACAACAATGTGACATCACTGGACAAATCAGCTCACCACAAAGCACCGGAAGAGAGACAGAAATACATTGATTGTACAAAACAAAATATCATCAATGGATAAGATTTTCCTGGATTTACTTTCTAAAAGGTTAAAACTAGACTTGGTTTGACAACAAATGACATGTATCTGAGTTGAATATGCTGGCATGATCCTCCACAATTTTATGCAAAGATGGGGCACCTGAGTAGAGAAGAGACTTTTTTTTAATGACTGGCTGCACTGAGGTATGATCTGTCTGGGTAGGGTGTCCTTTCAGCCCTTCTCCCTTCTATGTAGGCTACTTCAGTCACCTGGATGTGTCAGAGTGGTATTATACCGAAAAGGGATTTTACACTGTTATTCAACGGTAGCAGAAAGATCTTTTGCTTTATCTCATGGTTTAAGTTTGAAAGATTTTAGCTACCCTTGCAGAATAACAACGTAAAAAAACAATTTTAGATGACGTCGAATGACCCCTCAACCCGACCAGACAATCCAGGCCACTGAAATTAGTGAAAACTCTCACTGAGGTAAAATGAAACAGTCAACCCTGTCCTCTAAGACTTGATGCTTACAAATACAAAAGGATGCTTATGTTCTACTCGTTACAAAATGTGCAGTACCAACCAACTGATCAGACTTACACCAACATGTTACCATCATGAGGTATACTGTTTAATGAAACCCTTGAAAAGGAGGATTAAAAAAAATCACAGTAATTATTAACTAAATGAGCATGAGCAGTTTTCTTCACAAAAATCTCTGATTGTTATAGCCAACAAACAGACAAAGGGGGGAAAAAAACACGTACCTTGTTTGAAATGATAATGGATGACGAGTTAAAGAAACTTCTGAAAGAAAAGCATACTTAATTTACTGGGTAATGCTGCTTTATGTAAGGGGAATAAAACAAATGGGAAATACTGTATGTTACTAAAATTAGATCAAATAAAGTGTGTATAATTGTTTTTTGAATGGCCACTTCAGGTGAGAAACAGTTTGAGAGACAAAGTGACTGGCAACTTATTAAAAACACCTTCTCAATGATCCTGTTTCAGTAAACTCCATCCACTTTGTTGTAGTCCAAACAATATCTTAAATGTGAACAGAAGAACTGAAGCATTTGGATGAAACATGTTAGACCTGTGAGAAAAACATTCAGGCATTCAAGCACATGTCTTCTTAATGAAGGCCTACACACTAATCATGGCTGACCTGGACTGAGAGAGGTATATGTAAGATATAAAACTGGAATGCTTTCATTTAAAACTCAGGACACATGGGCTTTAGAGGATGATGTGAAACAGTATCAAGAAAAAACAGTATCAGTAAAGAACCTGGATAAAACATTACTGAGTTTTGGTGGTTTGCTTAAGCATACTGCATATGAAGAGATTTAGCAGCTCTCTTTATTCAAATGGTCGCCCAAATAAATGACTTCACAGCAAGATTTTCACTCAGCTGATTGAAACCTGCTCTGACATCATTGATTGGAAGTTTGCCAATATTTAGGTTTGACATGCTGCTGCAGTTTCCCACTACAGATGTGCTGACTATTAATTTGGTCTTTATGTACAAATTTAGTGTGGTTTGCCAAATAAGTATGCACTGAGTGCCATACATTCTTAAATCTGATAAGACTGTATTTAAAAAAATAGTTCTCTAATTTATAGTCTGTAAAATCTGACTTATCCTGATTCTGCAAACCTTGCTCACCTACAGTAATTATTGTTTGACCCAGGTTTGCTGAGAACACATTCACTTCTGTCCCTATATGACTGCTAGTGCAGTAAAAACACATTACATTGTTGTGATGTTTAGAACATACATGGCAAGGCTAAAAAAATATGTCTCTTTGAGGTACCAACCATGCTTTTCGATCAGAAAACTATATCAGTTCTACAGAATAAACAACTATGTTTGTGACAAACGCGTTCAGGGTGCTCCCGGCATCTCATGAGGAATCATATATGTTTGTTGCTGATGTAATCGAGTTGAGCTAGTGAGATTTAACACACACACACAGACATGAGAAGAAAAGAGATAAGTGGTTTGTTAAATCCCCTTCAATGCTGAATGACTAGAAGAAAGCCACCTGAGAGAAAATAAGACATCAAGCAAAACAAAGCTGGACTCAATGCTCTCTCATTCTGTCCATCGTTTGAATGGATAAATGATTACTATTATTAACCGATCCCAACCTTTGCTAACCTGCCATTACCTCAGAATCACATAGATGTACAACAAACTATGTCATCAGCAGTTTTTATGGCACTCATGCGAAGTAACCCTTACCCTTTCTGAGTCCTAAGCATCCTTAGAATATTATTCATGATGTGAAAAACCAAATAAAACCAGCTTCTAACTCACTCAAAAACAGACTCTTTGTTAGTTTAAAGACAACAATAAAAGTAACACCTTGCCTGGTGCATGTGTGAGATTGTACCTTCCTTTCTCTGTACTTGGCACAGCCTTGAGTGGAACTTCAGGTTCAAAACCCGAATTTGACATTAAAGATATGAAAGAAATGTGATGTTTATGTTTTCTGAAGTAAAGAGTTTACCATAAGCACATTACTGAATGGCAAAACCTGTCAGAGATCTGAGAGGAAGCAGAGGTACACTAAAGTGATATAAATTCCTTTGACATGATAAAAGAACTTACTGTCAGTGTCGGACACTTAATTTGGGAATATACCAAAGGATGTTTTATGAGACAAGTTAAAAATAGATCTTAAAAAGGTGCTAGTTAATTTAAGCTAAAAAAACACATTGGAAATAGTCCTGAAAAGAAATGAGGTAGTGTTGTTGATAAGGAGTAGAGATGCACCATTTCCTCTTTCACACTTAATTATTATGGTAAGAAATCATATTGAACTCAGAAGAAATACATTAAAGGTTTTGGGACAATGAAAATTTTTTAATTTGAATAGATTTGTTTATTACTCATCTAACGCCTTTCCTATCCGATACATTCAGATCATTCAGGTTAACTTAGAGTGATTTGTGCTGTGTAAGAGTAAAGCTGGAGATCTTCTCATACAGCTGGAACCAAATATGCTTGTAAGTAAGGTGATTTCCATCAAAGTAATGAAAAACACGACAAGTGTTTGTACTGACTAAAATGAATGGCACAGTAGCGCATTGGTGCATCCCTAAGTATGAGCAGAACCCGAAGTTGTTGTTCTCCCAACAACAGAGTTAAACTAATCCTAACATGAACATGTAAATACTTGGATTCCAAAATGGAATATCCACCATCTGAAATACTGCAAAACCACTTTTGAACTGCGTGCCCCCTGGTTTACAAAATGACACCACCTTCACATAGGGCATTTTGGAAACATATCTTCATTTGTATCAAATCTGAACTCTCCAAATATTTTTACATCATGAGTTTTTTTTTTCTTTCTTGCTGTGTTTTGTGTTTGTACTGAATAAAATCTATAGAAATATACAGAAGTGATAAATTCACTTCTTCTTTGTGTGTTTATGTGTGTGTGTGTTTATGTGTGTGTGTTTGTGTGTGTGTGTGTGTGTGTGTGTGTGTGTGTGTGTGTGTGTGTGTGTGTGTGTGTGTGTGTGTGTGTGTGTGTGTGTGTGTGTGTGTGTCTGTGTGTATGCATGCGTGTGGACCCTGAGACAGCAGGTGGCTGGATAGAGACACAGGTGTGCAGCACTGTCAGAGTGCGCAGGTATTCTTTAAGGCTTATACTTCTGTGTCACTCTTTAAAGTAGCATCCACACATCGAAACCCAAGGAAACGCCTGTGCTCTGGATCCCTCCCATCCAAGATGGCAGCCTGTCTCACTCACTAGCAGAACATTCCAGGTTTTCTCATTCCTGAGGGGACCGGAGCCATGTGCGACACAGTCGGGATAGCTTCTTTCAATCCTCTTCCATCTGCTTGGTTTAGTTAAATCTTTTGTTTCTCTCCTACGGACAGGAAAGATACCCAGAGGAAAACTATGGTTGCAATGCAAGAGAAAGCATACCCATATACAGTACTCTATCACTAAAATGATACTGTATATGTAAACTGTACATACACACATATGAAACAATGGATTCAAAGTTCCTATAATACCATTGCAAGTGAGAGAAAGGAATCCAATGATGAGGTGCATAAAAATAATCCAAGGGGATTCTTCCTGGTACATCAAAGAAAGAAAATCAGTCTGGTGTCTGTGTGTTTGTGTAAGGGTCCATACCCTACATGCAGAGGCTACGGGCACAAATAACTGTGAGCTGCTGAGGTAGAGTGGACAAGGCCGGAGCTGACAAAGGGGGCAGGGGACAGCCCTGCTGAAATGGCCTTCCCGGGTGCTGATGGGCAGTGTCTTGAGTCCCCGTTCCCCAGTTGCTCTGACCTCAGCACACAACGCACTGTCTTTGGGGAGTGGAAGCCATTGGTAAGCCCCGTGCTCTGCTGTGGCTCTTTGTCTAGCTGGTCCCCCATGCCTTCTAGCTCTCCGTTGTGATTGGCCACTAACTTTATCGAGGGAAGACTCAACGGGGTTTGGGCCATTGATAGTTTTTCTACTGTTTCCTCCTCTCCTGGTGGACTTGGCGGGCTCAAAGGGTAATACGTGTCCTCTGATAATGAGTGTCCCCTCGTGGCATTAGTATCTGTCTCACTTTGGCTGCCCTCCTCCTCTTTCGCTCTCTCTGGGTCTGACAGCTCTGAGTGAACTATGACTTCTGCCTCCACCTTGTTACTGCACATGGAAGAACACAGACGATCGCCGCAGTCCTGCAACAAAACAATCTTGTTATTTTGAATGCTTCTTCTTAGTTGATCTACGAGTGTAAATACATTACACATATAACAATACACAATACACATACAGAATTTCCACTCAAGCTACTCCTCATGATGCAAATGTTTACAGTGATAACAGCACTGATCAAAATTCCAAGATGTAAAGAAGGGTTGTATTTTTCATTGAAAGAGAAAGGTGTGAGTAAGTATGGATTAAACTGCTTTTCTTTATCTTTTTTAAATCTACTTCAATATAAGGGTTAAAGGTTTGAATATCCAACCAGCTCACTGCGTACAGAATATGTTACTTCCAAGGACAAACTACAGTAGAGTTAAAGCATATTTTACATCAGGTATTAGTTTCCCACTGTGTGGAAGCCTGTCTGATATAAGAGTTTAGTTGTTTTTTTTTCAAGCTCTGAATTGGATTTAGATGAGCGCCATAAACATTGTTAGCTGAGATAAAGTGGCATCTACTAAAACATAGGTGAGGCCTTATCCTTACAGCCTTTATTTTGAAATATTGATTGTTGAAACAGACTTTATCAGAGGTGCATATTTGAGAAACCTTCATAGATTTCTTTAACAAATCAGTTTAACATATTACACAGTTAGCCACAGGAAATGTTAATCAACCCCTTTATGGATATTAACCTATAGCTAAAGTAGCTAGCTGCAGTAAGCGAGACCCGTACCATGGTTAATCTTTTTCAGAAATCTAATTCCCCTTCTTAATATAAATGACTTACCTAATATTTCAAGTGTTCAAGCTGCCCTAACCTCAGTGTAATACGAGAATAAACTGCATATGTGCAGTGCAAGAATGGAACATTTGACTAGCAAAGAAGCCCGAACTATAAAATGTGGTTTAGCTAAAAAGTGAATAAGTCCTATTTAATGAACCACTGATGTAAAAACCTAATTGTCTTGTCAGATACATATTTATATATATAAAATTAATGAGTCATTTAAATTAGTCAAGTCATTACCGTGTTGTTATCACTAATTTGCTTGTTGAGAGCTCCATTAATGAGTGCTGGAGAGTCTTCTGTTATGGTTTCTCTGTATCTTGTGATTCTGTTGGCCCAGTTATGGCTCACAGAGCCATTCCAAGCAGCCTGCAAGAGGAACAACAAAGTTGATCCAAATTACCATAATTATCCTTCTATCGTCACCTGAAAAAAAGTAACAGAGTATCCAAGGCCCATCTGGAAAAAAGCTCCCCCTTTGACCTTGGGTTCAGCTGCAGGGCCACCCTCCCCCTCCCCTGAATTAGCACTTGCCATCAGGCTTTGATCCTCTGGGGCCTCCTCTAACGGCTGACCAGACTCTTGGCTGCCAAGGGGCATCAGTGTCTCCAGCTCATGGCTATCGCTGCACTCCGGCACGGTGGAAGGAACAGGGCTGCCTCCTCTCCTGTACTTTGGGGTCACAGCTGTGGAGTCCAGGCCCCCCGACACCTCCCTATGTGGAGCAGAGATGAAAATGTTAAAACACAGTAAAGGAGACATGGACTATAGAAAACTGAACATTAATACATTTGTCAGGGTTGTTCATATTAACTTTTGTATGTAATACAACAATTGTTTTAAGTAAGAAAACACATTTGACATGTTAGTAGATCATTAGTACTTACTCGCTGAGTTAACTTACCTAGATTTGCCATTACGAAAGCTAAAACACATGCAGAGGAGGATGCAAATCAGTCCCAAACAAACACCAACTATAATGCCTGTCACCGCATGGATGTCCAGCTCTGTAAATATAACAGAAAACACAGAATAAGTGTGAAAGAATTTAAGATATAATGTAAACAACACAAATGATGAGAAGACATAATTTTCATAGATATTCCCATAGATATATGACATTTCTATGTTTTGGTCTTTTGCTGGAGGCTATATTAAAAAGTATATTGTATATTTCACACAAGTATCATATTAACATATCTAGTAAATATGATACACATAATCCGGCCCTATGAAATCACACACACTGAGAATGTATTGATTTTTTATTAAAGTGAAAGTATAGGTAGCTGAGAGATATGAGGCAACATTGGACTGAGGAGTGAACAGCTTCATTATTATTCATTTATTCTGGGTTTCTTTGGCAGTCAGGACATAGAGAGGAGAGGAAACAGATGGCAGGAGCTCTCACCCGCCCACCAGCCACCTCAGTCCCATTCACACTGCACACAGGCAACACTATCATAGCCTATGTGAACAAATAAACCTGTTACTCTGTCTTTTTTTATTCAGGATTTGGCACACAGAAAAACAATAACAAAACTGCATTATCACTAAATCATCAAGCTTTTTCACTATGGGGAATTTCAATATTCAGAAATAATAGACAGTACATTCAGAAAAACACAAGATGCTACAATGCTTTAGCTTAGATGTAAAGAGATTGTTTTTATGGACTGTTTGAAAAGGAATGACAGGCTCACTTCATATAACAGTTGACAGGCGAGTTAATTGCTTTGTATTTATGACTCCCTCAAGACAAAAGGGGCATTCAATAATTACAGGTAATGTTGAAATGCTGACTAATGGAATTGAAAAGTGCATAATGAGATGGCATGCTTAAACACAAAGGGCCTGATTTACTAAACTCCCATTTAAAGAGTACTAAATTGCGTGTTCACTCCAAAAGTTTGCACGTTTGGTTGGTGGGCGTTTTGCGGGTGGTCTACTAAGAAAATTTGTGTGAATGACACCAGGTGTAAACCTTGTGGAGGCGGTACTATTTAAGTTAGGCTTTTGCGTGTTCTACTGGTTTACGTGATGGAGAGTTTGGACAGAAAGCAGGATAACTGCAAGCGCAAAATAGGTATGAGTGAGAGAGGCAAATGAACGCACAATACTTTCGAGTTATAGGAGATAAATCTGAATACTACAAAAGAAATGTGGTTATAAGAAAACCTCAGAATTAAACAGGGCCTCTCTTTTCTTCCCTTAATCTTAAGAATGAAGTGTCATACATCGCGCAGGAGGTCTGAGCTGTATCCTCTGTGGTACGGGCGCTCTACACTCGCCGTTGTTGCGCACCAGACAGCTGGCCAGCGCTGTGTCTGATCGGATATAAATGCCCTGGAAAGAGGTATCGAAGACGGGGTTACAAACAGTGGTGAGGTCCCCCAATCCAAGCATCCTACAGAGTAGCAGCAGCAGGCTGTAGAGGGAGGTGACGCGTGCATTATGGAGAGGAGCGCACCAGAGGGGACGAGCTGGGGGACAGACACGCGACCCGAGAAAAAGGAAATCCCAGTTTAAAATGTAATGTTGGCGAAAAGAGGGAAATAGGAAGAAATAAATGTCAATGTTGAAATTCTATAGAATGCAGAGGGTGTGAATGTTTTCTTTGGATATATGGCAACAATAGCCTGTAGTTTAATCATGGTGTTTCTCTTCCTTAACGATTAGAATATTGAATCAAATTAAAAAATAAATGCATGCCATTTATTTTTTCATGTCATTTGAAACATGTAAACACTTGTGGGGAAAAACGCGATCTTTATGCCTTCTTTGTTGTGCCTCTGTCTCCTCCTAACTACAATAACGCACCGCTAGTAGATCAGATAGCACTTTTTTTGCTGGTGGTATCAAGTTTGCACACATTTTAAGACACGCAAACCTTAAATAAATCTGGCCCAAAGTGCCACAAGAGTAGATAAAGTGCTTTTCACAGCTATTCTGCTGGGTACAGAGGAGTTTAAAGCCCTCCCCTGGGGGTCACTGATGAGGCCGCTCTTTGATATCCACACTTAATATTATTCTCCAAATGCACCAGAATAGGAGAAGCGAAATGACAGGGTCCTACTGAGCTACACTTTCCCTGCTGGCAGGGAAATTACCCACTTTGAGAGGAAATACTTTGTGTGTGTGTGTGTGTGTGTGAGTATGTGTGTAGTAAGTGTAGGTCGGTGTGTGCAGATGTGTGTTAGTGTTGTCCAATGTGTGTCTGCTTTTAAAAGCAAAATCTTAAATTAAAAGGACATCAACATCATTGTGAATTCTAACCACTACTAGACATCATTTTGAAATTTCATTATGGAAATTCTGTACTTTCATTATTATTCATGTGGTTGAATTTGCCTCTTTTTTGAAAATTATTTTTATGACCATTGTTGCCTTTATTTGACCGTGAGCAAAACCAGTGCACCTCAATATTCCTATTTTAAATTAAATCAGTTTAAAAACGGGCATGATTCAAATTAAACTTGATTTTGATGTTTTTTCTCTTTTTCTTTTGGTTTAATATTCTTTCAGACTCAGATAGCAAATTCAAGGTTCTGAAACATCACACTAAATAAATGTATTCAAGTTGCTGGAAGCAGCTACTTTAGTTCAAATCTAAATGATAGGTCAAGGTTATTGTCTTACTTTTTAATTAGGTTAATCTTAACTTCTATTTTTTTTTTTTTTAAGATTTGTTTTTGGGCTTTTTGGACCTTTAATGGAGATATAGGACAGTGGATAGAGCTGGAAATCAGGGAGAAAGAGTAGGGAATGACATGCGGGATAACCACTGCGCCACCAGCGCCCCTTCTATCTTTTTTTAAATACATTTTGCCATGTGAAATTTGGCAAACGTAGAAACCGATATTGAACCACAATAACTGCTGTATGTACTCTTAAAATTAGGATTACTTCTTCTATAATAGACCCACCATATTGCTGATGGGGCATGTGAACATCCTTTACAGGGGAATAAGGCCCTGCCCCAACTTCTGTAGATGCCCCCAACTTGAAAAAGTAACGGGTATCACTGGACAAACCCTCGACCTCCACACTGGTGATTTTCCCTGAGAAAAAAATTACAGACAGGAAAACAATGTGAAGGTCTTTTATTCATGAAATGTTAAAGCATAAAGTGTAAGTTCTTCTTCAAAGAAAAAGCTGTGATTTAGAAGTGATGTTTTTAGAGCGCTGAAGAAGAGTCAGGTCATGCTGACTTAACACTCACCATCCTGAAAGAGGTTTTCCCACATGTGCTCCGGTTGGCTGAGGTTGCCGCTGTAAAGGATTTTATAGCTGACAATGATACCATTAGGTTCCAGTGGAGGGCGCCAGCTAACCAGCACAGAGGATGAGTCCAGCGCACTCAGCTGCAGCTCCTCTGGAGGTGTTGAGGGCCCTGAAGTAAAGAGGACGACAGGGTCAGTAATTAAGAGCCCAGCAATGAGGCGTCACATCTGCAGCGTGTATATGGCCTTGGTAGGGGATTTGACGTGCTGTGTGACAACCATCTGCGCCCTCATGTCTGGGCCACCTGGGTACAGCAGAGAGGGGACAAGCAGGGCAATGGGGGGAATGGGCCAGGGCTCGAGTGATAATACATGGAAGTGGAGCGCGTGAAGGGGTGACTGGTTGTAATAATGTCATTAAAAGCAACCCACTCTGCACTCAGCACCCTGACTTGGCTGAGTGACAGAGCTGCTGGCCAACACAGGAGCTGCTACTACACCTGGGTATTTCATTACAGCCAGTTATCAGCCATCGATGCCAACCACTTATTCCCATGTCCACTGGCGAACAGCCAGCCAACAAAATGATTCACATGAGAGGGCACACATTCAGCTGCATGCACTCAAGCACAACCTTGCATGCATATATCAAAGCATCTGCAGCCACAACTTGAACACCTTATTTTTGTCAGCTGGAGTAGAAGATTGAAATACTAAATTCAATCTGGCACAAAGAATTAGCCAAGTGAAACTGATCAGACAAAAATTCAGGCAGCATGACTTTGCACAAGAACTAGAAGACTCTATGTGTATAAGTAACATTTTTAAGCAAACACAAGTAGGAAATACCATGTGACATATTTAAAGACCAAAATTAAATCATGAACTAGCTTAAAAAAAATGTTTCTAGAAGGCCTACCTGTTATTTATTTGTAGAACCACTAAACTGAACTGAAGCACCTCTATAAGCTGTATATATAATATATATATATATATATATATATATATATATATATATATATATATACATATATATACACATATCTTTCTCTTCAGTTACACAGTATAACTACAGCTTTCTATTTTTGGCGCGTTACAGTTCTCTCCAGAGAGAGATTCCCTCTGCATCCCGACATGAAATTATCTTAAGAATTCAATGTGTTTTACTAACTATTATCTGTATAGTGGACAAAAAAGTGACAGCCCCCTCACTCACAGTCATAATATTCACACAGCTCTGAGCTCTATAAATATAAGACAAGAGGCTATGTTATAACAAGACGTGATTAATGTAAGCTCGTGGGCCAGAGGGCTGAACGAGAGAAGGCCAATATCTTACACGTTTTAATCATGGGTTGATGTTCTACTGAATAGACTACTTCAGAAACCCACATCTAACTGTCACATCTGTGTCTGTGCTTACCTGCTGGTTTCGATCGTGACTTTTGGATTAAACCAACTGTAGAGAGAGGGGGGTTGCCTTTTTGAGGTATGATATATGGCATGAGTAGGGTATACTTAAATTAGTATTTATTGTTACTATGCATTATTCCAAATGACAGCTAGAAAACACATTTAAAACATTTGCAAAGTTTCTGTCAAAGGTAGGTATGTGCCCCTGTTACTATTATTTCAGGGTGCTATGATTAAATTTGGGGTGCTGCAGGACCCCTAAAAAGGGTCCAAAATCACCTTAGTGGATTAAATTGGATCATAAACGAGAGAGGCTATAGAAACAGGAGCGCAGTAGAGACTCACGGTCAGGCAGAGTAGACTCTTCCACTGTGCCGCTGAAGGGTCCCACCACACCCACCCCATTGGACTGCACCGCCAACTCATAGCGGGTGAAGGGCTTCAGTGCCCCAAGCAGTATCTCCTGAGCAGAGCTGCAAAACAAAAAATGAGTCTTAAGTGTGTGTGTTGAGTGCTCTGCATTTTATTACCTGCTCTGCACAAAGATAACTATGTACTGAACAAATCCTAACTCGTTTGAATTACCCCCCGGGGACAAATAAAGTTTTTTGAATTGAAATTGAATTGAATAACTATCTACGACAAATATTACCTTCACATCGTCACCTCTGAATACCTGCCTCCTGGGTGACAATCATTTAATGTTATGTTTGTCAATATTCAAGCACCTCTTTTGCCTTAAGACTTCATGCTCTCCATAACAATATAACTCTTGTATAAGTTACATGAAAATGCTAACAGGTCGGATAAAGAGTGACAAAGAGCAGAACCAAAGTAATGCAGACAATGACTAGACTGATTTCCAGTCTTTTGGTTACAGCAACAATAATTAGGATTTCAGAGAGGTGCGCTCGGGGGGTCGGCCGATGGTCTCTTACTTCAACTGCATTGTGGTAAGTCAAACAGGGCTGTTGCCTCTCCCTTATGGGCATCGTGCATATGTTGACAAACAGAGGACAAAGATGTTGTGCGAAGCCAAAGAACATTCCAACTGACAAAGTACAGCAATATTACAGGATTTTGAGTAAATATGACTGCAAGCGTCTTCAGCCAGTTGTTTGCAAGCTGCATTTGGAATATGTGTATGTGTATTTAGCTGTTACATGATATCTATAGTCCGTGGCTAAATGTCTACATGGAAGAGGGTTATTTATCATGAGATAGGTTTGTAAGGCTCATTATAAAGTGCTACAGCTAACATAAAGGCCGACAATGAAAGAGTAAACTTTCTGACGTAAGACTGGTTTATTCATTTATTTGTATTCAAGCCTGAGCCATAACTTGGGTTAGATGACTTTTTGCACATGAGAAAACAATGACACCGATAACAATACAGCCTAATTGTTACGTCACAATCTGTTATGAATAATATCTGCAGGGATCTACACTCTGCTGTCGGATTGTTGATTTCCCATTAGTCGTGAGACAGATCATAATAACTTCTTGCTGGGCAGTAGTGTAACCTGTTTGCAACAATGCATATGTAGGCTAAAATGCCATGTCTAACATTCTGTTCATGCATTACTAACTGCTGTTTCATGAAGCTTTTTTATCATGTATAGAAATTATATATAAATATATAAAAGCCTGTCCAATATTTCCTCTTCTGTGTCTAAGCCTTAGCCATTGTATACAACAGTACAGAGACAGCTGAAAACTGCTGTGTGAACTACAGCTGTGTAGCTGTGGCCCGCTGCCAAAGCTACATAGTGTTAATAACAGAGACCAGGCCGCACTGTGAACATGAGAGAGACACTATTCTCCCTGTTAAAAGTCATTGCACGATTAGATCGAATTTACTACTACTTTTTTTACAGTGGAAAAGTGACATATTGTTGGTCTATTTTTTAAATGATGCTTCAAAATAGAGCTACTCTAATCTTAATGTCCAATTGATGTTTCACAAAGGGGCTACTTAAGCTTTTAAAAAAAAGCTCTCTTTTGTTGCATTCAACCTTTTACTTTTAAGAAATGTCAAGGAAAATGTCAAAACATTTAAAAGAAAACCAGGTAGTTCTTACTTAAGTGGAGAAATTCTATTAGCCTACTTAAAACTGACTTTGACCTTACAGGATCTTTCTAAGAGAAGCAATAGGATAAAAAAAAATGTTCAACTTTATGAAGACATTCAACTTTTTTTTTCTTCCTTACTCTGCTTAAAAGGCCGTCTTTCCATGAAATAACCGATGTGATTGAATTATTTCACATTCATACAATACAAATACTGACTGATTAAATATGCAGTGCAATTATACAACATGACTTAGTTTCCTTTGTTTCTGACCTGGTGTGATAGGAGACCAGCGAGGCGTTGGTGGTCCCTGCAGGGCTGCAGCGCACTGTGTAGTTGATGATGCGTACGTTGCTGAACCGTGGCTTCTCCCAACACAGCCAGATGGAAGTGGAGCTGTTGGCTGTGGCTCTGATGCTGCTTGGGGGCAGTGGAGGGGGGCGCATGGGCAGTGCTGTTGCTTTAACACACACATACACACACGCAGACATATAAGACATGGATCTTGGCCAATGTAAATACAATTTGTCATTGTTTATAGGTTGAGAAAATGATGAGGGGGGCTGGCAAATGTCACTTATTCATTCAGTTATTTATGTATTGATGCACACATGGAGGAGATAAATCTTACGTCCTGGAGCCTTGTCTGTCCTTCCTTCCACACGGCAGCTGCTCCTTCTATCTGTTTGTTGAAAGCCCAAACCTTCACCTCGTACTGCCGGTCAGGGACTGACACACCAGCAAGAGAGAGAAGGACAAAGCAGGTAAGAAAACACAAATAATTGAATGATTAAGATATAAATACTGTGTACAGTATGTAGTTTATGTTGCAAACCGGGGAAACATCTTAAATGATATAAGGCCATCAATGTATGTTGAACATTCTGTATGTTTACCGGAAATTACATATGGCAACCGCACAAACCACCTTCATGCAAATACTTACATTTGTGACACCTTTTAATGTTTTTCTTAGCTTTGATCATAACTTTTAAAGAGAGGGGTCTGTCAATTTTCTGCTTTTTTATTTTAATAAGGAATGCGTGTAAAATTTGCACTTGCAAGGTCCCCGATTAAACATAATTTCCCTTGATCATTCTTGAACTTGGCTGACTTTTTCAAGCAAAGTGGGGTATAAAATAATATTTGTCAAAGGTTAAAGTAATTCAAAGTTCTGGACTCTACTCCCTGGAAATAGCTGTTTTTGAGTTTTTGTAAACATCAAAGAAGAAGAATATTGTTAAAGCAAACTGGCCTGTTTCAACAAACTTACCCAGCCCAGTGAGGAGATGATACCTGGCCTTCTTCCGGAGCCTGATGGTGTGGGTCTGTGTTGTTCTTTCTCCATTGGTCGAATCTTCAGCCTCCATCTCGCGACAGGACAGCTTGTACCCAGACACCAATGTGTGATTGGGTGAGGGGTGCCATGTCACATTGAGTGTGTTCACTCTGGCTCTGACTTTAAGCTCAGTAGGGGCAAAGACCACTGAAAGGGATTTAAACAAGGGGAAACTTCATATAATTCACCATGATAACATTTACATCACCCGCCAGGCATGTACAATATGTAAAAAATATGACTATAGTCAAATGAACAAGTGTAGTTTTATGTCAGCAGTAGGGAGAGCAGAGCAATTCAAAGTGCAGACTACAAATGACTAGTAAAAAAAATGAATTTGAAACATCTGAAACTTACATTAGTAAGAGGGCTATACTGTGATGATTGTGAGCAACAGAGCAACAATTTATATGCAAACAAAATGTCTTTCTGTCAAGGTTAGAAAAAACACTAGTTCTAATTAATTAATGTGCTAAGTCCTATCATTATGCTTCTTCAATTGATCTACCTTTCTTACTTTTCTATAATGTAACAAAATGTTTCACCTATCATTCTTCATTCTACATGACTATTAGTCTTCAGGTAACATGTCCACTTAAGGGATTTCTAACCATTTTAAATGTTTTAAAATCACAATTTGGTAACAATATCTTAAATTCCCTGTACGGATTACATTTCTTGAAGTTATAAGTGATTAAAAGGTTATTCTACAAGACAAATAATCAGAATCAGAAATATTTTATTAATCCCAGGGGGAAATAAGAACCCTGAATAAAAACAAACAGGGGCTTTAAGAATAAACTAATATTTATAGAGCCAGTTCTGTTGTAGTCCTTACCCAAGCTGTGGTTGCTGTGGTTGTAGAGGGCTAATGTTTGGTGCTGGGCCCACTCAGAGGGAACCCCGAAGCCAACGACTGTTCCAGCTGCAATCCTCAGTCTGTAGACCTGGTTGGGCTGAAGCTCTCTGAGTGTGAATTGAGTCTCATTACCCCCCACTTCCACTGAGAACACAGAGTCCACTGTGGGAAAAATAATACAAATCCTCACAAATGTTTTTTTACAGTATATTTGAAAAAGCCAGTACACTCCATAATAAATGTTGAGTTGTGAGCACCTTTGGACCAGAAGATTTTTTATATTAATTTCCACCTAACCTATTGAAGATGAGGACAAAATGCCTTTCCAATAATTTATTCAACATAATTACACAGATAGAAATATTCTACTGGAAAATATGTGAATATCTCCTATTGCTCCTATTCAGGAGCTGGTGTTGTCTCATTTTGCAGAAATAACTTTTTATAATTATTTAATCTGCCTCTGTTCTCGTGATATTTGCTTTGTGAAATGTTTCACAACTCCTCCAAACATTTATCTTTCAGAAGTGATATTTTGAGAGCTATAATGTATGTACAGCAAATTAAAATACACATTTATTTTCGTGAAATTCAAATCTGGGTGTTGACTAGGCTGCTTAATAACCCTAAATGTCTTGGTCTTTAACCAGTCTTTGGTGGGTTTTCTTGGTGTCACTTTCTCCTAAAGCATTCACAGAATTTAGTGCTAAATCTATGATTGTAAGTTTGCCTGAACCCAGTGGTGGTTCTAGACACCCTGGGAAAAAAATTATTGGAGGCCCCTTTAACCAGCTCCACGATCTCCACCATCATGTCTGCCAGTGTCCTGATGCCTACTCCTCTTTTTTCCTCTGTTTTTTCCTCCCTCCCTCATAGATCATTCATTTTCATTTTCCTTTCACTGACAAACTTTGGTTTTCAAAGTAATAGAGCATGTAACACTTAGCAGAGCAACGAGAGTGAGCCTCTGCTTTGCTGTAAAGTTTGTCAGCCCTCAGGGGGCCCCCTATTGGCCTTGGGTCCCAAGCAGTTGCCTGCCTTGCTTGTTGAAAAGCAGCGCCTCTGCATGTACCTGATACACAAAGCAAAACGAAACCATAACACTTCATCTGACCAGAGCACCTTGTTTAAGAACTCTTTGGCCCCAAACAGAACCATAAAGTCTTGGTCTGAGCCTTTATAGACAGCATAGACTTCTCCTGGCACAACTCCCATGCAGGTTAAATGAGTGCAGTCTCTTTCTGTTTGAGGATTTCTGCATTTTGACCCCAGCATTTGAAAGAGTTTGCTGTACACGCTGTGATAACACCTTCTTTTAGTAACATACAGCCTGCTCTTGGGCTGTCTGTAGCTGATTGTCTTGGACCAGCCTGCAGGAGCGTGAAAATGTCTCCACTTATATTTTGACACAAATACTTGGGGAGACCTTTAAACCCAAACCTGACTGCTGTACATCTTCCAACCTATTACCGAAGACCTGAGAGAGCTCATCTGATATAGGCAGAGTGATATCACACACGTTCATAAGAAAGAACAAACACTTGAAAATCACATTTTTAAGTAAGACAGTCCCTATAGGGTTCTTCCTGATGATACTTTTCTTTTTCATGTTTTCATTTCTTGCCATCAAACCATCAAACCAATCAGCATTTTTCTTATTCAAATTGAATGAATGACTTAGACTTAAACTTAGACAGCAATTGTACGGTTTGCCACAGTATATCATTTAAAGACACAGTAGGAACCAAAATAGAGAGTCTACATTTGCAGTTATATTTCAATGTGAATACTTTTGAATTGTTATGTTTCTACAAATGCAGTATGATTATTCTTTTTGTAGTTTGGAATGTTTTATTAAGATGATGATGTTATTTTATTGAGGTTTATTGTCTTTGGAATTGATGATTCAATAGGTAATATATCATACAGATAATTTTTCCAGTGTTCATTACTGTGTTGTTCCTGCATTGATTTAAGAATTTAGCTGTCTGTTAGACAACAGAGAACATAGAACAGTTTTTGTTAACTGATGCTATTTTCCTAGTTGATATTCAGAGTAAATGATTATTTTCTGCAAGTTGATCAGATATTCTAAAGGAGCATACACATGTATATAAGCCTCAGCCTCTTCACTTTTATGCCATGATTAACAATTTCTAGGAATAGAACACAAACATTACATTTGGTAATTCATTAAGTAGGATGTTATAATGTGATTTGTTCTGAGAGAAATATGTCCTTCTTCTTTGATCAACTTATTTGAAACCAAAATGGCCAATTTTCCTGAGTGTACTCATTGTAACTAAAGGGTGTTTTTACCGGCAGCTAAGTCCGTCTTTTGACCAGCAGAGGTTACTCACCCTGATCCAGAGTGCTGTACTCAATGCGGTAGCGGGTGACAGCTCCTCGACTATGCTGCGAGGACAATGGGTGCCACATGAGTCTGATGTCTGTGGGAGAGGTGCTGGCTATAGACAGCTGAGGAGGTGCATTCGGCACTGCATGAGGGAATAAAAGACATACTGAACTGTTACATGACGCACATACAAAGTCGGTCTTTTAGAGCTGCACCGTTTATGAACAGCATTCAAACCAAGATTTTCCATAACTTATCTATACTGAGGAAAAGTGTGCACAAAATCAGTTTTTCTCAAAATTTGCTGTGGAGTGATTTTTTTCAAAAATTAAACAACAGACTTATATTAATATTTAAATGCAAAAATGCTTATTTGAGCTCCTGACGAGCTACTACTACTATTTTGTAAAATCGACAACTCCTCTATGAAGACATGATACAGCTGTTTCATGAGCTCCGAAAAGTTACAAGGTTTTCAGACTGTTTGCTATGTGAGTCAGTGAACCATCCAAGGCCGGCAATATCACACCGTGTTGCCTTATTTACTAAGTCTTTTTTTTTTTTTTTACCTGTATCACTTTGAATACTAACCGTCCTCCAGCATCTCCACAGTGACAGGCAGGGATGGGCGACTGGCTCCCATGGGAGAGTAAGCCACCACAAAAAATGTGTAGGCAGTGTGCGGGAGAAGCTCTTTGACATGATATTCTGTGGTGTCATTGTTCATTGCAAACTGGTACTCGACATTATCAGAGCCTGAAAAGCAGAACAATATTTAACTAAACTATTACTAAATTATATGGTTCAGGTCAATTTTAACTAAATAACTAGTACACAATCAAGAATAGACACTCACCTGAGGCAAGTTGGCAGTGCACTGAGTAGCCAATGATTTGGTCTGAGTTGTACTCAGGTTTCTCCCAGGTGAGCAGGGCACTAGTGCTAGAGAAGGGCGTGGCTGACAGGTGCTGAGGAGGGCTAGGCAGACCTTCCCTCACAATCACTGTGAGCTTGGCAGTGGCACAGGCCGTGCCCAGCCCGTTGTCTGCTATGCACTGGTAGTACCCAGCATCCTCCAGTGCCAGCTGGTTTATGAGCAAAACTCCAGGGCTCTGGCTCTTCACCCGTCTGAATGGCTTGATGGGCTGGCCATCCTTCAGCCAGTGGAGCACAGGAGGAGGCTCCCCAGAGCTGTTGCACACAAACCTGGCTGTGTTTCCCCGGGACAGGGAGGCCGTCTCTGGGGGCTGAAGAATGACTGGGGGGGCTGTTGAAAAGAGGAGAGAAGCTCTCTTAAAAAGGACACTGATTTAATGTGCAGTACGAAACCAAAGGTACACTCCAAAGATTTAGTATTGCACTTAAACAAAGTTTACAACAAAAGGTTCCAGATCAACTTAGCAAATACGAAGAAAGTTAATTTCCTCTCCCCTGCTTGTGAAGGCTAACAGTCTTCTACAATGCTGTTCCCTTTCAAGCTTTCTGAATCCCAAGAATCACACAATGTGTTTTGATTGTATGCTTTAATCAGATAAAAATAGGAAAAATATGTCAGGAAAAAGAACGATGCAATTAGTGATGTTGCAATTGATGGCGCGTCTTTACTCCTATATGTCACATGGGCACTGACACAAAAGGGATAACAATTTGCACTGATAGGAAGAACTTTTCAGGGCACCCATGGTCTAGCAGATAGGTTGTGCCCCATGTATGGAGGCTTTAGTCTTTTAAGCAGCCTGCCCAGGTTCAAGTCTGACATGTGGCTCCTTACCCACATGTCATTCCCCACTCTCTCACCCCTTTTTCCTACTGTGTCCACTGTCCTCTGAAATAAAAATGCACAACCCCAAAAAAATGACACTTGTTAACACTGTTAAATTGTTCTACTTTTCCTATTACAAATCTTTGACACCTTCAATTTCTTGTTGACTTATGGGAAAACTTGTGACAGACAGTAATTGAACTAAACAGATCTCATCTAATTTGTCATGTAAAGTTTGTGATATGACTCCTACCAGGCACATGCAGCTCAGCAGCAGCAATGACAAACTCTCTAGTCATTGGCTTGTTGGCCCTGCAGACATAGATGCCGGTATGGTGGCTTCTTGTGTCTCTAATAACCAGATTCGTTGCAAGGACAACCACATCAGTGGAAATGGGCTTTCCATCTGTTCAAAGAAGAAAGCAACAAAGAACAACAGTACAGTCTCAGTTATACCTTATAGATGACAAGAAAAAAGTTTGACCTTCAGTAGAGTGGAGCTCATATCTGAGGCTTTCAGTTGCCTGAGAAACAGAACAAAAGGAAAAGGCAGTACTTGGGAATTTGACCTGTAATCCCACAAGTTGACCAACAGATGGCTCTGTGACTTTCTGGTTGGGGGTTCACTGAGTTGTCTGCATTGGCACACTCCAACACTGTGCGCAAAATCATCTCTATTCATAATGAAGACATCGATTTGGTTTGTCTGTGGTTTGGTACTATTCTGGCATTTCTTCTTTAGAAAATGATCATCATCTCATAGTGAAATATATCACACTGGAAATGTGAAAAGAATTGTGACTAAGACATTACATCATACTGAAGTAATGGGTGCAAGTTTGGACGACTAGATTAATGAATAATCTTCAACAGAATTCCCTATTTGTTAAAAATGTAAGCGTGAATCAGAGGGAACCTCTAAGACACATCATAAACTCTCATAAAAAGTAGATATGTTGTTCAATCACATCTTGACAGAAAACTGTATAAGACATCATAACCGCTAAGTCTACAAGTATGTGTGGATGTGTGTGAATGGAAGTTGTAAAGGTACATTAATCAGTCTGACAATTCAGCTCAAGTACTGCATCACTCAAAAATGCAAAAAGTGCAAAATAGAACAACAGAGAAGAGACAGCTATTTTCATTCAAACATCAACTTTACAGCTACAGGTAGGCAGACACGACCCTGGCGTGTTGATGTTTGTTCTTACAGACGTGTGCAACAGACGGATTGTTATTTAGTGAGACCTGGATAATGAATTAGCGTCGAAGGAAGTATAAAATAAATAGAGAGTTTTTGATGGTTACCTTGTCTGCTCCAAGACACCATGGGCTTCGGCTGGCCTTGTGCCATGCACTCCATCACAGCGGGGCGGCCGAGTACAACTGAAGCATTCTGAGGAGGTGCAACAATCGTAACTCTATTCAGGGCTTCAAAAGAGCCTGAAAAACAATAGAAATAAGTGTATATTTGTTATCATGGAACAATGTGGAGGTTTTGTAAATTGGATTTTTTTTAGGAAGCAGGATGGAAGCCCTTTTGGGCCATGTCATTATTTACAGCCATCATAACATGTTTGACATGGTCACAAAGCCACTCTATACAAAACCTGTAATACCCCATTCATCAACACTCTGAGTGAGGGGAGTGACAGAGACGGGGGGAAAAAAGAATCCAAAAACAAGATTATTTTTGTATGAAAAAAGTTGAACCATTAGACTGGATCATTAAAAAAAAATACACTATCATAGAACTAAGGCCAATTTTCTCCTCCTCAGTGACTAAGGATGTTACCATTATTCAATGCATATTGTTCAAAGGTTGAAAAGGACCAGACACATATTTCTTGAGTGTGTATGAGTCTCCAAGGTACACAGCTAGTGTGAGAGTGCCTTACTTCTCTGCAATTTTGCTCAGCTCACACAGTCTCAGCAGCACATAATGCTAATGATCTCCTGGCATTCTGTAAACACATTATAAATTAATCATTGAGATTACATACAGCAGGCCTTGGTTATGCATAAGCCTTTAAGTGGGTCAGTCTGCCTTTACGAGGACTGGACTCCAGAGTGCGCCTGCAAAAGGGTCTTGTGTATTTACAAAGGACATTGGTGCAAAGTAAAAAGAGAAACTGGAGCAATAATGCAACTGCATTGTTGTGACCTTTTGTGTGTGACCTTTAATGGCCACAACATACAGCTGTCAATGCGTCGCCATAACTGATTAGATGATCTTCTCATCGGACTTTGAATTGCAACGAATGATGTGATGGCATTAGACCTGACATCAGTGACATGTTATAGTACCTACTGTAATAACCCCTGAAGTCATTTCCTTCTTGATTGTGTGAATAAATAAGAGGATACTTCCCTCTATTGTATATTATGCATTCAAATGACGAACACAGGATGAGAAGAGACAAATTATTCAAATAATCAAATCCTGAATAAGAAAAAAAAACATAAATAATCTTGAAGCATGGCTTTCAAAGTGGTGCATAAACTTTTCAGAGTCTTCATGTTGTATCTGACTCGCTTGCTTTGGCTCAGTGTGTCTGGCTCTCCCCTTTTGTTTTTGTCTTTTCTTTTAAGGACACTCAAAGACACAATCGTTTCCACAGAGCAGCCAATTACAAATGACTGATCTCCAGCTCACCAGACATACAGGCAACAGAAACAACATGGCTTTAAGTAAGTACATTACATCTAAAGGATTGGCTTCCTTTTTGCCAGGGCATGAAGAAGAATTACATTTTAATCACAGAAAACTGAAGTAAATGACCCAAAACAAAGGTTAAAAAGACATCCTATAACACATTTTGTATACAAAGATCTGTTATGATTTTGATTTTAAGGTAATTAGAGAGTAGCAACATTTGGAGACATATAAGAGATCAAATAAATACACATATATATACATGTACCCACTGACCAGCATACACTAACCCTGAGAAGTGTCAGGATTTACGTCACAAAAGTGAAACTTTGCAAAATTTGCAGTTATTGCATGAGATGAAAGAACAGTTCCAGACGCTTACAGGATACTGAATTGAAAGTTTAACCCAATGCCACTAACCATATAGAAGGTGATAATAGTGTCTGTCAACATTCAGTGAATAAAAGAATCTGAATAACTGTATGTGTTGCAGACAGCTGAAGGACAGGCAAGATATACGTTAAGCACTTGCATTTAATACACAACACCTGCTGTAAGTGCTTTACATAAGGGAAATGTTTTTCATAAGAAAAGGAGAGTGGTGTATAGATGTTAGGTTGTTTTAAGGCCACTGAATTTTGAACAAGTGGGCTTAACGCTTGTGTGTCCTGGTGAACCCGGGAGCTGTGTTGTCTGAGGACAACACAGCTTCGGGGAGCTTCGGGGCCTTCGAGCTTCGGGGAGCTCGAAGGCGAGCGTCTGGTGGCCGGGCTCTCTTCCATGGGGCCCGGTCTGGCTCAGCCCGAAAAAACAACATGGAACCGCCGCCCTGTAGGCCCACCACCTGCAGGGAGAGACATGGGGAGTAGGTGCAAGATAAGCCGGGTGGCAGGGCTTGCTAGTCAACGGCTGGGCAGACTGGTTTTGGGGACGTGGAATGTCACCTCTATGGCGGGGAAGGAGCCAGATCTGGTGCGGGAGGTGGAGCGTTACCAGCTGGAGATAGTTGGGCTCACCTCGACGCATAGCACCGGTTCTGGAACCAAACTCCTGCAGAGGGGCTGGACTCTTTCCTTTTCTGGAGTTGCCCAGGGTGAGAGGTGTGGGGATACTCACTAGCCCCCGGCTGAGCGCCGCTGTATTGGAGTTTTCCCCATTGAACGAGAGGGTCGCCTCTCTGCGACTTCAGGTTGCAGAGAGGAAGGCTCTACCTATAGTAAAAGTATTATTACAGTTAGATTTAGAGTTACAGCTATAGGGTGAGGATGAGGGTTAGCACCTCCAAGTCCGAGGCCATGGTTCTCTGCCGGAAAACAGTGGATTGCTCGCTCCGGGTGGGGAGTGAGTCTTTGCACCAGGTGAAGGAGTACAAGTATCTTGGAGTCTTGTTTACGAGTGAGGGTAGGATGGAACCATAGACTGAACGTGAGATTGACAGACGGATTGGCTCGGCGTCAGCAGTAATGAAGGCGTTTTACCGGACCGTTGTAGCGAAGAGGGAGCTGAGCCTGAAGGCAAAGCTCTCGATTTACTGGTCAATCTTCGTTCCAACCCTCACCTATGGTCATGAGCTATGGGTAATGACCGAAAGAATAAGATTGCGGATACAAGCGGCCGAAATGAGTTTCCTCCCAGAACACGCTGGAGGGATTATATATCCTGTCTAGCCTGGGAACGCCTCGGAATCCCCCAGGAGGAGCTGGAAAGCATTGCTGGGGAGAGGGAAGTCTGGGCTGACTTACTGAACCTGCTGCCACCGCGAACCGATCTTGGATAAGCGGAAGAAAATGGATGGATGGATGGATGGGCTTAACGTCATATTAGTATGAGATTAGTTTTTCAACACCAGAAACTTTCAGATCTGCAGAAAATGCTTGTTATGCTTTACTTTGTTTTCATTTATTGAAGCACAAGAGAAAGGAGCAGGGTGACTTCTGAATGAATTAAATATCAGACTTTTTAAAAAACAACATAAACATAAAAAATGACTCCAAACAGCTGAACCTTTGCAGGAAAGTAAAAGAAAAATGTTGATCTCTGTCAATACTTGATTTAGCCACCATCCAACTTGATGTAAACAATGGTAATAATATGATTAAACTTTTACCTCCAATGACAATGACAGATATGGTCAAAGTAAATTAGTATTCATTGTTGATTTTTCTGCACAGTTTTTGTTTTTCAAATTACACTCATTCTAAACCCTAACTTTTCTTTGTTTTTATGGTGGCATGAATAAAGATCAACATACACCAAGATCCCCTTCACTGATAGCATATATGTTTAGCATGAATTATTTTTGCAGCTGATGCATGACTGTTCTGGGATATTTTACATAGAAACATCAGAGAAAACATTGTTCACACATGTATTTTCAATTTGAACAGATCCACTGTATCATAATGCTTTCAATTAAAAAAATATATATACATTTTTAATCCAAGATCGTTTAAACTCTTGTGCTACTTGTTACTTCCCATGACTGTCACTGAGCAGACTGGTGTAGCAGAAGTTGAATACTTTTAACAATTTTATAGATTATATATACAATATTTATTTTATAAAAAAAAGAGTATGGTATTTTACCTGCTTTTTGTAAAGTGTCTCGAGATAACACTTGTTATGAGTTGACGCTATACAAATAAAAATTGATTGATTGATTGATTGATGATATTTATTGTGAGATCATTCCTAATTTTTATTTGGAAAATAGAACCATTTTAACAATATTTGTTGGACTAAAAACCAGACTAGCCATTGTAATCTACAACACTTGCTTAAACACAATGTGCTGTGACACAGTGCCACTAAAATTTGCATTTGATTTCAGAGAATGGTCTGGCAGTATCCAGCAGGACCAGGACCTATTCAAACACTATGAAGCACAGCAACAGACCTCACCTGTGGTGACTGTGAGACTGGCTTCATGACTGATTTGCTTCCTGGCAGAGTTGGACGCAACGCAGCGGTAGGCACCCTCATCTTCCTTGGTCACCTCCAGAATCTGAAGCACCCCATTAGGAAGGGAAATTAACCTGTTACAGGCAGGGGAAAACAGTGGGGAGAGAGAGAGAGAGATGAAAAAATGAAGAAATGGCCAAATGCCCTGCAGCATTTAACATCTAGCAAATCTCAAGTTTCATAAAAAACAGACAATTATTCTTAAAAGCAAAATAGAAATAAAAAATGTGACGAAAGGTGGAGTGGTCAGCCAGCAAGTAGTGGAAAGCAGAAGTGACAAGATGAGCCAAAAGTGAGGGCGACTACAGAGGTAGATGATGAAGGGAAAAAACGCAAGTAATGAAAGGAGGACCATTAGCTATGAATTAAGAGAAAAGGCATTTGAAGAGAAGCAGAAATGGAGAAAAAAGTGGTGTGAAAGAGATGAGCAAGAGACATCAGAGAGGCCAATAATGAGGGAAATGAACATTAGAGAAAGAGAGAACAGAGAGAAAAAAGGCAGTGATGTATTAGCTGTCTGTTAGCTCATCTTTGAGAAAGGTCATTAACAGCACCTGCAGTGGGAGAACCACATCCCAGCAATAAGACCTTATAAGGAGCACGCTGTTTGCAGGTCATGAAAGGCTACTGCAGCCATTAGCGCTCGGTCCTGTGCAATACGGCTGGAAACAAATTTAAAGGCGCAGAGGCCAGTAAAGACACAGTGACGTGGCTCTGTATATCGTCATCATCATCATCATCATCATCAACCTTTATTTAAGTTAAGGAGGTGATGTATGATGGAAGCTTTCTAGTAAGGGCTTTATAGACAAAAAGATGCCAAAAAGATGGTTATTGCGTCTCTCAGTGAGGGAGGGCCAACCAACTTTATTATGAAGAATGCAGTGGTGAGTCATGTAGCTATCACCGGTAATGAATCTAAGCGCAGAATGGTAAACGGCATCTAAGGGCTTTAGCGTAGTGGAAGAGTCATGCCTATAGACCACATCACCATAATCCAAAACTGAGAGAAAAACTGCTTCAATTATCCTTTTCCGACAGAACATGGGGAAATTTGATTTATTTCTATATAGGTAACCAATCTTTTGTTGTAATTTGACAGTAAGATTATCAATGTGAAGTTTGAATGTTAGTCTGTCATCTATCCATATACCGAGATATTTATAGTCTTTAACTCTCTCGATAATGGATCCTAGCAGGGTGGTAATATGAAGGTTATTATCAGTTTCACATTTAGCCCTAGAAAACAACATACATTTAGTTTTCTGAACATTTAAAACCAATTTAATATTGTTAAGTGCAGCTTGGAGAACATTAAAGGAATGTTGCAGGTTCTACATGGCAAGCTGAGCAGAATTAGCAATACAGTACAATATTGTATCATCTGCATATAAGTGAGCATGTGAATGGTTGCTAGATAATAATGGAATCATTTTATTAATAAAAATTGTAATTGGGCTGGGCCTAAGATTGAACCTTGTGGAACACCCTTAGTGATTGGAAGAAACTCAGAGTGGATGGTTCCCAGGTTCACTGATTGCCGTCGGTCGGTGAGGTAGTTCAAAAACCACGCACACACATTGGCACTAAAACCAATAAAACCAAGAATTTGCAGAAGCAATGAATGGTCAACAGTGTCAAATGCTTTGGAGAGGTTGACAAAGATGGCAGCACAATGTTTTATTTTTTATCCAAGGCATTGACAACATCATTCAACACTAGCGTGACAGCAGACACAGTGCTGTGCATAGATCTGAACCCAGACTGATGTGGGCTTAAAACAGAGTTTGTTGAGAGAAATTCCTTGAGTTTACGAGAGACTCTAATATTTTTGCTAAGCAGGGCAATTTGGAGATTGGCCTATAATTATTAGGGTCACTCTTATCTCCACTCAGTCGTAAAGGGGTAACATAAGCAGTTTTCCATACATTGGGAATTACTCCGGATGAAATGGAAAGGTTAAAAATGTGAGTTAATTGCTCAGCAATATGAGACTATTGTGAGGAACAGCTGACAGAGAGAGAGACCTGTTAAGGTCAAGGATGGGTGGTCAACCTTTTTTTTATCTGTTTAAGCACAGGTGGTTTATTGTGAGAGGTTTGTTTCAAACTCAAGGTGAATCTCTGGATTACAAACTGTAATCATATCAATCCTCAGATAGAAGTTGAGTTAATTTGAATTCCATCTGTTTCTTTGAGGAGAATGACAAAGGAGAAAACAACAGGGGTGAAAAGAAAACTGCAGGCTGCGACAGAGAAATCTACCAAACTGAAGATGGCACTTGAAGTAACCACAAAACCAGACGTGGTGTGTGATCCGTTGGTGTTTGAAGAAGGTGAATGGAATGAAATTGTCAACAGAGTCCAAGTGACGAGGTGCTGCAGTAACTCTTGCAGATGTGTTCACATTGTCTCACTTCAAGAAGAAGCATTCACAGTTTGATGTGCGTAACAACAGCTAGCTTAGCTCTTTCGACAAAACTACAGAGTTTATCTTGGATGGATGCAGCTCTAACCATAGGTTTATCGGACAATTTAAATAGAAGGAATATGTGATCCACATTTAATGAATGAAATAGTTTCACAATCAATATTTTGTTTTTAATTTTTGATTTCTTAACTGGCTGTGTAATAACAATGCCATTGAAATGTGCACAAATTATTACCATGTAAATGTATGGTTTATATTTATAACACAGCAGGAACATTTTATTATCAATTTGTAGATGAATGATTAACAGCTAGTACAGAAAGCAAAATTAAACTGAAAAACTTTTCTTGAAAGAACGCTTCGTTAAAACACCTTCTGTTCTTCTAACTTAACATTTTCTTCCTGGTGCTTACAGGTCATCATCAAAAACTAGCTCTTATGTGTCTTTGATAAGTTCTAACTAACATCGGTGTAGCCTTGAGTGATGAAGGGAAATTATACAAGAACATTTCTTTCACCTTGAGAATCCAAAGCGAAGAGTTCCAGTGAAAAGGCATATGTTTTGCGTGTAAAATATTGAACGGCACAGCTAAATGTAGTTGAAAAACAAGGTCATTTTAGTCAGTGTGTGCTTCCTTTTTTTTTTTACAAATGATTAATGTTACATTCACTGGCTTTTATCTGTTATGTTCATCTCTTATAAAAAGACAGCCTCAGATTTTAAACACAAACACAAACACAGCCTTCACACGTTATTCATGAACATGCCTTAGTCCCTCGAGTCCTCCTGTTTGTGTTTTCACTAAACAGTGGTGTCATTTACTTTGACAGCAAATAATTCAACCAGAAAGTCCTGTTCTTTATGACTTATAACGACATCCCTTTAAATGACTGGATGTCCTTATTAAATGGACAGGTACAGGATGTCGTATCAGGCACAGAAAAAAAAGAAAAACCTCATATGTTCTCAGAATAATTAGGTTTGAATCACAGAGGTCCCTGATTAACCACATCACAAATTCAATTACATGTTGCAACATAAAAAATAAAAAGTCAAAATAAAAGAGAGAAAAACAATGAATCAAAGAAAAACAAAAACATGAAGGCGCACCTTGTGTCTTCAGGGATGTCATGGTTGTCTTTTTCCCAGGTGATAACGGGAGTAGGTACTCCCTCAATCTGACATTTGAAGCGGGCAGCTCCCCCAGTGGGCACTGTTTGTGGTGAAGGCTCCTGATGGAACTTGGACAGAGCTGGGGGAGAGAGGTCATTCAGGTAAGGAGGGTGTTTATCAAAAGCAGAGAGGTCCTAATGGACAGACAAAAACATATTGAATCTAAAGTAAGGCTTAAGCAATTGACTTATTTTAATGATCTGAAATCATGTGTGTGATACTTCAGTCACAATAAATGGAGCACATTGTAATTCTTTGGTTTAGATATCAAAATGATCAGCTACTTTTTTCACTTGGATTGCTGTGAAGAAAAATGTTCACGTCACGATGAGTTTATGGCACTAATAGAGTCTCTATTTCAATTATTTTGAAGATAGCTATTCCAGTCAAGTAATTCAATTAAACATTTAAATATCCTTGAATGTCCCAATTAGGACAAATTTGTTATTTAATCAGGCTTGGCAAGATAATTTCTCTCCCTTGCAGGTTGAATCGTGGCAGCGCTCCAGTTTTCACAGCTTCAACACATTCTCTCACACGCAGAAAAGCTTCCTAGTGCAGATAACACTGAGCACCAGGGAGCAGCAGTGTGCACTCTCTGAGGGGCCTCTGACCTTTGACCCCCTCAGGCTGCTGGAGAAGAAAACAAAACTGGTTGGCTCTGCCAGAAACTTTGCCTGTATCTCTGACTCAGGAGCAGGGAGTTGGGGGAGGATCAGAGGAGAGAGTGCAGAAAGAAGAGAATGAAAGCAACCGAAGGAAGAGAGAAAGCATCAAGGTAAGAGAAAAGAGGGGAGACTCCAAATCCTTACAGACACAGCAGTGCTAATAAGAAGGGATGTAATCAAAGCAGAAAATATTTGCCACAAAGTAAACTATAAAAACTTTGTAACAAACTCAATAACTCTGTCTAGTTTCTGTATCATGTTCTCAAACACATTCTCTCCATGTAAGGCTATTCGCAGGACTAACTCAAATCAGATTTGAACAGGCGGATATCATGTAGAGATTACCCTACAGCTCATTCAAAGATCTCCTCTGCAGGAAGAACAAATTTCATTCAAGCATTTCAAAGAGATGTTGATAGCAGAGAGATATCCTTTATTAAATAAGTATGAACAATTTACACGTCTATCCATTTTTTTCCTCACAAAAGATTAGATCCTATTGTGGTTACAGTAGCTGTGAGTACAGTTTAAACTCATACAAAGTCAGGGGATCACCAAAATCAGTAGAGCCACTTTAACAAAAGCACTGCAGTCATGAAATCATACTGAATTTGTCCTGGTGGGTGCGTTTGTGAATGCAAAAGTCCAAATCAGTTCATGCTTGATTTTAAACTGATTTTCCTGCCAGCTTCCCATTAAATGTCTGAGGCCCCGGTGGTCAGTGAGCGCCAATGTACAAAGGCTACAGTTCATCATGTGGGCAGCGCAGGTTTGATTCCCACCTGTGGCTCCTTTGCCACATGTCATTCACCACTCTCTCCCTCCCTGATTTCCTACTCTATCCACTATCCTGTCTCTCTAATAAAGGCATATAAAGCCCCAAAATAAATCTTTCTCCTCCCCTTTCTCCTTGTCACTTTCTGCATGTCACTCCCCCTCACCTTCACCAACCAGAATATTTTTCTATCTGTAAGAGTACATCCAACACAGAGAGTCTGCCCCTGTTAGGGTCACGTTTGATAGGAATTCCAGAACTCTTCAGGTCTATGTCTTTAAACTATGTAGAAAAAGTCAAGAGATCATGAATAAAAGGGGCTTTAGATTCATAATCTGGGGTTTATGATTGTCAGTAAAGATTTTGACAGTGATTCATCCAGTGTTTGTAAGGATACTTTTAGTCTAATAATAGTAATACAAGTCTAATGTATTATTATTTTCATCAAACCTAAGTGCTTGTTTACCATCCAACCAGTCAAGAGATCAACATTTCCATCCAGAGTGGCAGCTTTAATGTCTTAAAGCTGCACAAAAGTGAAGACCCAGTGGGATGTCATCTGACTACACACAAACAGAACTAAAGAGGAAGGGACTGGAACAGCTCCAAAACTTGTTTCAGCTTTGAACTGAGACTAACAAGAGGAGTCATTTTGGAAGATTGGTGTTTTCAAAGTCATAGACATCCATAAAATGCCTAAAAACTCTAGCTTTCCCAATTTTTGCTGATATCCTCCAAACCACTGAGGTCAAGGAAACAGAGGGCCTATCCAAGATTAGCGTAACCCCTTTCACACCAACTGTTCTTCATGGCAACAAACCAACCATCTGTGTTTTTCCAGCAGTGCTGAGGGAGAAAAAAGTTTCTGAAAGAGAAGGCAGAGGCTGACCCTTAGTAGAAGCACTAAACATGTGATTCGTTTCAGAATCACTTGCTATGACTGTTGGGTACCAGGAGGAGTTGATGATTAACCCCTGCCACTCAGCCATTACACAGCATGACGCTGCCCTCATGTAAACACAGCACCTGTAAAACTGCCAGAGAGCGGCTCACAGTGTGTGTTGAGCTATTTGTACCTCAGTGTTTATTTAGTGTGTTCCTTGAATCCTGTACATGGACTGCTTGTGACCACTCTGGATTGCTGTGTGTGTATTTATGTGCAGGAGTTTTGGGTATCTGTGTGTGAGTGTAGAACAACAGCTGATCAGAGAGAGTGCATATTAGCAGATGTTAAAGCACAGAGAAGGGGGGGGGGGGTTCAGGGAAGAAACTTTGCCCACGCTGTGATGGAACAATGGCGACCGGCTGAGCTTCCACCTCCGCTCTGTCAAAGCGTAATCATATTAGTCTTTTCCAAGGATTCCTTGAGGGTCTTCAGGCCTGAAATAAAATTCTGTGGCAGGTCTGTCCAGCACCATGGAAAACACACTCTCACATTTTGCAAAGCTGACACTGCTGCTCTTCTCCTGATTATGGTGATAAAATGGGCAAGAAAAATGACATATTGAGCCAAAGGGTCAAAAATATGTCTAGTTAAGTCCTATAGCTACAGGAACTTAAAATGTCCCTTCTTGCCTTTCTTCACTACTCCCGCCTCTCTCTCTCTCTCTCTCTCTCTCTCTCTCTCTCTCTCTCTCTCTCTCTCTCTCTCCCTCCGTCCTGCCCTTGACTTTAACACTGACTTAACTTACTGTGTCTTTGTCCGTCCCTCTATCTATTCCCCACTCTTTGGCCCCACAGCTATCAGATTGCAGCCTTTTCCCCCTCCTCTTGTGCAAGCAGATAATTCCACCCATGACCTCGATGATACCCAGCTTTCAGGCTGACTAACAGTGGGGTAAACCCATCAAGCAAGCCCCGGCTACAGTAAAATATATTAGCCAAACTATTTTTTATTTTGAAGTTTTAGTAAACTACCATTTTTCAATTCATGAAGGTGTTTACAAAATAAAAAAAATGTTGTCATGTTTTCCATTAATTTCATGGATAGATTTTTTTAATGGGCTTTTACAACATTTTGATTTAGGTAACAATCTGATAAGATGAATACTTGACTTCGTAACTAATGGAGCTCAAAGTTTGCCCTTCATCTGGCTCTCCACAAGGATGTGTGCTTTCACCACATTTTTTAATCCTTTATACAAAATTATGCCTAAGTACATACAAAAAGAGGACCTTCATAAAGTATGTATACTGTCATAGTTAGTCTTCTACGGGACAATGAAAACAACAATGGTCTGGCTTATCTGCAGTTAAACATATCAAAAACAAAATTTATGACCATCAATTTGAGGATAAACTCCTGCACGCATGAAGGCACACTCATTAATGGTCAACCAGTATATTGTCTACAGTCAAACAAATATCTTGGCAAAAATGATCAACTCAAATTTTATTTTGGAATGAATTGTGAAGCTGTGAGTAAAAAGGGGCACCAGCGTTTCTTTTGTCTGAGGAAATTGGGCCGTTTCCACATTGACAAAACCATGACGAGCCTTTTCTACTGTGCTTTTGCTGTCAACTTTGGAAACCTCTCTGTGAAGAACAGAAATTCACCAGATTGTGAGGCGGTCCAGTAAGCTGATCGGAGAGCAACAGCTCAGTCTAGAGACCTTGTACATCAGGCAGGTGGAGCAGATCACCCGCTCAATCTCTGAAGATGAGACCCACTCTCTGCATGGTGAGTTTCAGCTTCTTCTTAATGGACAAAGACTTTCAGTTCCAAAGTGCAGAACAAAGTGCTATAGGAACAGATTTGTCCCAGCAGCCATTATTGAGCAGAACAAGTCATAGGACATGAGTGTTTATCATGTTTTTTTGTAGCCGTGCATTTGCACAATTGATGTTTTATGAATTGTCTGTGCCTAACAAGTTTATGTGACTCTCAAGCAACCAAATGTACCGATGGGTACGAATAAAGTAACCTGAACCTGAATATAGAGTACACAGAATATATGTCTTCAGCATACGCTGTCCAGCAGGTGAATAGCGGGGTTGTTGTGAAAGCGGCCTGCTTTGACATGCAGGAGGGCACGACTACCAGACAAGCTGCATTGAAAGGGAGCTATTTTCACTCAATCTGTTGAAGATGTGATTCTCTTCTTAGCTGAAAACAAATAGGCAGATTTACACTGTGACAAAATACCTGACGCTTTGTATCCATCTTTAAAGACTAAGATTAAAAAGAGAATGCACTCCTCTACCTCTGTCCTTTGCCAAGTAAGAGGAAAACCTCCAACCATAAGCAGCCTCTTTGTATGGAGGAGAGTGCACACTCTTTATGGTTATGACATCAGCTCTTTGACTAAAATGGGTTGTGAAAGCTGGTAGGAATTAGGAAATATTGACATTCACCTCAGCATCCTTATAATGAGAAAGGTTAATTGGTCTAATTAACGTTATATTGCAGCATCATCATTTACTCGTCGATGTATTTGTGAAATGTTATTTGCACACTGTACGACGCCTCTGGCATTTTGCCAAGAGAGGGGTGAGTAGGAGACTGAAATACTGGCTCTATTTACATTTTTAATCTGCATTTAAAATAAGAGCAGGTCTCGTTCAGCATGGCTCTCCCTCTCAGACACATTCACATGCTCTCAGACGAGGCCACATGCATCAAACTCTGCGAGCTGGACACTGAAGCAGGTGGGTTTTCTGTAATGTGTTTTCACAGATGTGATCTCTGCTGCTTTCTCCCTTCAGACTCATTTCTGCCGCTTAAGTCGCAGTAGGAAATGAGAATGTCCGCTCAATGTCAACATCGAGGCAGTTTCGACTTGGACCTCCTGCTCGCTGGTCACATCTATCTCATAGCCTCTCGCTGCTGATTTAATTCAGAAGCCACTCACAAATACATGAGTGGTGTATGCATGCGGGTGTAGACCCTCGCAAACTGAAGGTCGTTCTTAATGGTCTGTGAGGCTTTCTCTTTCACTATCACCACAAGCTCTATACTATTTTCCTCCCTCCCACCATTCATCCAGCCCCCCCACCCTCGCTCCTTATTGTCCCTCAAACAAGAGACCCTCATAAATAGGCATGTGTGACAGCTGACAAAAGCAGGGTCATCCACAAAGAATACTGTCTCATTTTACACAAAGCTAATGGCTTAATAAAGACTGCCACTTCACAGTGTGAGAGAAAGAGGCCCCCTTGGAAGGGCGATTAAAAAAAGCTACAGCCTTTCCTCTTGTCCCTCATACCCGCATCTTCATGTTCATTTCTTTTATTTTCGCCCACTCCTCCTTCACGCTGTGCCTTTTAACAGACTAGGAGTGTACCTGTTCCCAGGACACTTGTTAGCGCTCTGCCCGAGGATGAGTCTCTCCTGTGAGGCAGAGGAGAACCAAGTTCATCGTCATCCATGCAAGGAAAATTCCCTCGACAAATCTGACAGATCACTTGGTTCTGCAAGAGTGTGCATGCAAGCATACCCTACTAAATGCTTTCGATATATGAATGAATCAAACCATTCTCTCTTACATCACGATGATGCTGCAGCATTCATCTTCTTGCATTTTTAAGCATGTAGGACGCCCCAAAACATACAAACACTGATTGAAATTAAAGGTCAGGGCTGGCCATTTTATCTCGCATACACTTTTTGTTATATTCCTTAAAATGGTCTTTATACTCCAATCATGTACTCTGAAAAAGGACCAAAAAGAGTCTTCACCCTTTCGCTGCTGTAACACTTTCAAAACTCCAAACCTAGCACTGTGAAGTCCGGATGGAAAGTCCCATTCAAATGCCTCTCTGGCTGCAAGGCGTACTCTACCCTTGCAGTGCACCAGCCTGCACTCAAAGGGCTTCACTGCCGCCAGAGGTATTCCACGTCTACTGGAGGACAGCAGAAAGCTCAGCTCAAATGATCACTGCCATGGTAACTTGTAACCGCTCACCCTGCTAAACAGGGTAAGAATAGACAGACAGAAGCAGAGAAGGCTGAGACGAGAAAGAGTTTAAATCAAGCAAGAGGACACACCAGAGTAAACATTTATAAAGCTTTTCAGCATGCAATAGCTGAGGGAGTTGAAGGGTCTCAAAAGTGACGCCATGGTTGCCATGTTTTGTTTGTTTTACTTTCAGTATGATCATGTTAGGTGTTTTCATACTGCTGAATTAGATATGAGGTGACGTAGTTGAATATATTTGAAAACGATGCGCTGAGGTTCTCTCTCTGCACTGTCATGGAGCACTTGTGATCCAGCAGTACTTGTGTGCTGGATGTGTGTAGGGGGCGTGGCGTTTGAAGGAGCCCTGAGGGGAGGGGGTGGGTTTTACAGCTGGGCTAGCGCCAGGAATCTGTTAACCGTTAATGACCGGCGTTAATTTTTTATGTAACATTTAACTTCTGTTAAATTTGGTTATTTTGTTACTTGAATTCTCTTTTGCCAACTCAAGTCAGCTGACCTCATTTGCTCCTGGCTCTCTGAAGAGACAAGAATGCTGGCCCTGCTGTTATCTCTTTTTTCAACTCACACATCTGCTTCATGTGTGCCACAGAGGGGAGAGAAAGTCCCGTTTCTACTCAAGCTCTCGTTGACTATAGTAGCCGAGGAACAGTGAATGGAAGGTCCTAATTGTTCAAATAAGGTGTCAACTGAAAGGTTGGAGTTCATGAACTTGTGGAAACTAGAGTAAAAAGCAGAAGTTTTGAATCTATCTGTACATCTTGATGGATGTAGGCTAATTTGTTTGGATTGATTGGACCGTGGGAAAGCTGAGCGATGCAGCAGGACCGTTTTTGTTGGAATATTAGGACCGGCAGAGTACAGTAGACCTTCAGACAGTAAGAAACATGAATCAGAAAGACTGGTTCGTTTTGTCCATGCTCTGACAAATGTGTAGATTGTGGCTGCTGTGTTGGTTTGATCTTAAAGTAGTTTACATGGTCCGAAGTAGGTTTTAACTTATGTTAAATATATTATTGGAATTAACTGATATTAAAGTTAACGTCTTTGTTAACCTGTTAACTGTTTACAGAGTTAAACTTTCAGGAAACTGTGCCCACCTGTGGTGGGCTTAGAAAGAGACCTGAGGAGATGTCCTTTTTAAAATCTCGCTAACTCTCCAGAACTACCAATCCTGCCTTTAGGTAGCTATTATATGCAGTACTTTTATAAATAATTTTTCCATTAGTATTCAGGAAGTAGAAGTTCCTAATAAATAAAATGATATTTCTTTGTCAGTATTGTTGTTGTTTTTGTTATTACTATTACATCAGAGTAACCTTATAAACAAGATATTTGTCTTTTGATCTTTGGGTAAACTATCTGTTATACTGAAAATTGTCCTTTACAAAAGCCCAAGATTAGATTTTTCTTCTTTTTTTTGGGTGGTTTGTTTAGCCAAAAAATCCAGACACTATCAGCATCTTAAAGAGTATTTCTTTAAAGATGTGTTTGGGGGGTATTTTATGCCTTTAGGACAGTGAATAGAGTCAAAAATCTGGAAGAGAGAGAGTGGGGAATGACATGAGGTAAAGAAGCCACAGGTCGGATTCAAACCCTGGCTACTTGCTTTGAGGACTGTAACCTCTGTAAATGGGACGCGCGCACTAACCACTAGGCCACCAGTGCCCCTTAAAGATAATTTCTGTCTCTCGTGTTACCCCTTAATTTAAAAAATGTTCAATCTTTTTTCTTCAAAACATCTGTGCTCATGAGAAATCCTTATTGAAACTCTCCATCCATTTGTACATGAAAATCATTCGCATGGGGTGTCCATACCAGCAAGCATTAGGGGAAAGATACAGTACACTCCAGACTAATCTTCAGTCTATCAGGGCAGAACGGGAAGAAAGAATGAACCACTTATATTCACCCTATACTCAATTTAGCTCCCAGGTAACCTGGAGCCATACATATTCAGTGTGAAGCTTCGATTTGCATAAATCTTTGAATTTAAATAACCAAATTTTCTTGAAATCATACATAAGAGTGTAAGAGCCCTGCAACACTTGCAGAAGAATCTGCTGGACACCTACTTGCTAGGAGAACATTTATAGTCCTGCTGGTCAGGGCTCCAAGGGCATTGGCGCTCACACAGCTGTAGCCCCCCTCCACACCCCGGGTCGGCAGGCCATCCTCAGAGGTTGGCAGCAGCAAGAGAGATCCGTTAGCCAAATACTGCAGAGCGTCCCCCCCTTCTGTAGGCAGAGGCTTGCCATCCTGAAGCCATGTGACATTGAAAGGTGTGTCGCTGGCCCCAAGGTTGCAGTCCAGCAGGAGGGGCAAACCTGGCTCTAAAACTACATGGCTGGGCCCGGCCCCGCAGCTCAGCTCCACAGAATTAGGCTTTTCTGTGAGGGAAAGGGAAAAGGAAAGAAGAGTTAGTAAAATATGCCCAATATCTGCCACGGTCTAGGTAAAAATATGTTTCTTTTCATTCAAAGGCATCTAAATGTTCACTTCTACAGCTTTTTTTAAAATCAATGCAGAAACCTTTGTATTGCTCTGTGAACACCAGAATATTGAATTTAGTCATTTTTTTACTTCATGGAGTCGATTATCCACACATCTGCATCATTTGTCATTTTTTTGTCAACGGTATCAATTTAAGCATTTGGCAATTTGTCATTTCACAGCATAACTTCAATAAAATCAATATTGTAGGTGGCACAGATGAATAGGGGTAGCACATTCCAGACGCCGGGTGTTTTTGGGACAGAGAGGGGGCCAGAGGAGGAGCTCCGAAAATGAAATGCAGCATGAAGGGATTTGTGTGTCAACAGCAGGACATTACAGTTAGAGAGTGGGAGGGGGGTGAGAAGTTGATGAGCTGGTGTGACATGAGCTGAAGACAAGGGAGAAGCTCTTTTTTATTTTAATAGTTGAATAAGGCTTAATTGACAAAGTCAGACTGTACTAAAGTCAACATTCATTTTAACACATGGTATCAAACGCCTCAAAAATGTCCCCCTACTGTGCTGTGCTCCCACATGGGTTCATTCTCTCTTGACTCGTAGGCTCCTCTGTATCCCTATCCTTTTTCCTGCATCTCCCTCTATCTCATTTTTCAACTCCAGGACAGTTTCGGTTCAGATTTGGTAACTTTACTAAATGTTGCTTAGTGCTCATGATGGATTAGCGCTGGGTCTTTGTTGATAAAATAACAAAGAGTAAGGTCTTTTACCTGTTCTTTTGTAAAGTGTCTTGAGATAATAATTGTTATGAATTGGCGCTATACAAAAAAAGATTAAATGATTGATTGATTGACTTCTTCTACACCTCTATATAACTTAAGACACCTACACAGTTTGTATCTTTCCTTTTTGACATTTTTTCGCTCTCTGTTACAGTAATGCAGCACAGTTTGAATTCAAATCTTATATGGAAGAAAAGCATAAAATTAGAAAGGAACCCGAGAGAATCAGAGATGGGAGATAAAAGGAACAGAAAAATACAAATCTTGAGTGACATGATGGAAGTTAATTATCTTTAAGAAGTAGGCTGCATGGCAGCAGACAGAAAAACAATCATGATAAAAAGAGTGCAAAAGATGAGGTGAAGAGAAGCCATACTGTCAGTTGACTACATTACACTACATTACACTACCATGTGCACAGTCTATTGTTAATCATTTATTTTGTGCTTATTTCTTCATACATTATGCATCCATTTCTTTTGTATAATCTCTATCAGAGGATTCTGTTTTTTGCATGTGGAAAAAAGTTGCACACTTTTTCTCTTAGTGCCCCTTTGAAGTATAGAAGTATTTCATGCCTGAATTGAAAGGAGGTACATTTACATTCCACAGTTAGGTAGAGTAATTACAATGTGTTTATAGAATGTATATCTGTATCAGGCTCGTACTGCAGCTTATAATAAAGTAAATAAAACAGATGTTTTTTCTTGTAATTACTTGTCTTGAGCTTCATGTCAGTATATCTTAATTGTCAGGACAGTGAGGAGAGCACATAGAGAAAATACATCATGAAGAATACATCCCTTTGAAGAAAAACTAGTGTTTCCCTATATACTTACTGTATGTCCAATTGTATCATATCTATTCTTATACCTCCACTATAGGCTATCCAATACCCCCGCTGGGTTCTTGCTCCTCTTCATCTAAGCATTATGTTTGACACACTGCAGTCATTTTTCAGTCTCGACTCAAATTTGTTCTGATCAGCCTCCACAGTTTGCATGTAGAAATGCAGTGTGGAAAAGGTCATTGAAAACCGCAAGAATAATTTCAATCCAACACTCTATTATTTCTTGCATTCTTGTCTTTATCGTAATCTTATTATAATTCTAATTCATTTACAGTACATCTATCTCTGGGTTTAACCCAAAACTGTAAAAATAGAAATAAATTTGTACTGGCCAAAAAACTTTAGAGAGCCTAATGGTATCAAGAGAGTTGTATAGTAGTGGCTCTCATAGGCTCTTTATCTATCAATGCTTTCACTTCTAGAAAGTTTAGTTAGTTAGTTGGCGGGATGGAAAAGATGTCTGTCTGTTTAAACCAAAGTTCATTCAACAGCTTCAATTTTTAATTGGAACATTTCCATTAAATGTAATACTATTTGATGAACACATTTTCTAAATATAACAGCTGTAACTGGATCCCTTCAACATTTTGCTTGGCAATGCAACTGAAATCCTTTGAACGCACTGAATGTCTTTTTCATAAAGTCATTACTGTACCTGAACAAGTGACATCATTAAAACTTCCTTTTTTAATTAATTTGACAGCCTCTTTACAAATTCAGCTTAGAAACACAATTTTCTGGCATAAGTACCAGGCGCACACACGCACAGGCACACACATTTCTTTTTCTTCTCTCTCTCCAGTGTTGGATTAATTAAGTTAATGGGAGACGGATTAAATGATCCTTGATTAAATGAGGCCTGACCCCCCACCACCACTTCCTGATGAAGAGGCTGGCTAATGCTGAGAAAGGCTGCACGTTGCTGTGCCACACACACACACACACACACCTGCTATAGTAAAACATTCACGCACAAACATGCACCACATGAACTGAGACACATAGAGACACCCATGTAAAAACACCAAAACACACTATCATCTTGAAGGAAGTGAAACAGTCGCATACCAACACAAACTGACACAGATCACCTCTACAGCTCCTCTCTTCCTCTCTCCCATTTGAACTAATTAGGTCTCATTATGTCATTAAAATGTTAGCAGCCACTTCCCAGCTCACTGCCAATGGTTTCACTTGGCAAGACATGGGGATCATTCTGCTTTAGGTACGCTCAAACAAACTGAAGTAGAAGTATGATGAGGTAAGAATGACACATGCTGTCAATATCTAGCCTAGAAAAGTCACTTTTTTCAGAACTATTTCATCTGGGAATAAAACACTTGATATCAGCATACAATCAAATGCCATAAACATCCACCTGTCCTGAAGTTTAGGCACACACACACTTGCTTTATATTCACATACTATCATGTGCCATACAAAACCATTACAGATGCGCACCCTTCACACAGAAACAGTCAGTGTGTCATGAGAACACTGTGTGTTGAAGAGGGGGGGAACTGTGAAGTGGCCATTTTGCCATTTTACTGTTGAAATGGGAGCTGCGGGAAAGGACAGGGTGCACTCTGGGATATAGTAGCGGCTGTGCGATCTCACTGAGCTGTGGTGAATGGATTGTGATGGCACTGTGCCAAGCTGTTCATAGCTTACTCTCAGTAGAGAGAGAGAGGCCAGAGGTTTACAAAAAGGGAGAGAAAAAGGTCCAGTAGACAACAGTAGACATTCAAACACACACATGCACACACACAGAAGCAAACATACTACACACCAATATCTCAGTTGCCCTTTAGCTTATTGCTAATAGTTTAAATAACTTTGCTGGGTTTAATTGATTTATAATAGGCAGTAACAGTTATTTGGACAATGTAAAAACACAAAGATAATATGATCCCCAGGATTTTATCTAATCAAAACCCATGTTTAGCTTTTGTTACTTAATAATACAAAGATAAAAAACTATCTAAGATTCACAATAAAATACACAAAAAATAAACAAAAGAGAAGCAAAAGCAGCTCAGATAGAGAAACTGACCCTCACTTAGAGGGAGAAAAAGAGAGAAAAGGCAAGGGAAATGGAGATACCATCAACACTAGTCCATTTCTGTTAATGGATCACCTATTCACAAAACATTTGGGAGAGAAGGAGAAAGAGGAGGAGCAGGAGGAGGAGCAGGAGGAGGAGAAGAGTGACCCTACAAAGAGAATATTTCACCCAGCTCAGCTTGTCAGCAGAGACTGGACACCCAATGACCCGGAGGCCACAGCTCATGTTTCTACAGACTCCAAAGAGGAGCTATACAATACCTCAGGCCGTTCAGGAACTACAGATAAGCACAAAGAGGTTCAGCTAAAAGAGTCTAAAAAACAGAGGGGTCATAGGATGGAGTGGATTTTCTTTTTCTCTGATGCTGATACCTCAGTCAAACATATGCTGCTGTTGGATGTTTTTAATGGAACTGTTCCTGAATCTGGGCTGCTTTTCTATGTTTACAGTATATAACACAGCAACAAACTTAATTAAAAATCAAAGTATTGGAGCGTCGATAGCCTAGTGGTTATGTCGCAAGCCCTATGTTCAGAAGCTATAGTCCTGGTAACAGCGGCCGTGGGTTCAAATCTGACTTTGGCACATTGCTGCATGTTATCCCCTAATCTCCTCTCCCAACATTTCCTGTCGCTCTCTATCAAAGTATTTGATTAACGTAAAACCTGGTATATACAACGCCATTGTCATGCCTTTTTTTAATCTAAAATTGGGCTGCATCCTATATACCAGTAAGACCAATATACCTGTTTACAATTCAAAGAGAGGAGTTTCATGGCATCATCATCTATCTAAGACTATGTCACAGACATGATTAGACATGAATGAAAATTCACCCCATTTATTGTGTATTGCAATAATACAAAAACTGCTGCTTCGCTGCACACATAGCGACGTGGACCAGGCTGGAAGCGCCACTTTTCAACAGCTTTTGTCCCTTATTAGGTCATAACCATGCATTCAAAAACATTGGCAAACTGTAGATGAAGTAAACCTTTTGAAATGATGGTTTGATTAAAACGACTCAAAAACAACAACTGACCAGCACGGTCATTCACAACTATCAACATTACTATAGATGTCTGTGCAGGTTCTCAGTCATCTAGGTCATGATAACTGAAGCTTGACACAAAGGCAACTGGACTTGGCTCAAGATCTTGAAGACGTTGCATCTCTCCTCCGAAAGGCTTCTTTAGTTCTAAACTAACTGGTGGACGAAGCTAGAAATGTAAGCCTTTGT